GGCGACCGGGATATCATTGTGGACCAAATCGTACATCCGCGCGGGAACACAAGTCGATGTAACTCAGCGATAGCTGCACTTTTGCTTTCAAAAATATGTTTACTTCCTGTGCCTTAATTTTTGCGTTTCTTAGTGGCCTGAACGCTCGTTTATTACGGCGTGATATATCTTTAATCAAATACCGAATTTGGGGCTGGACATCTTTTTACAAGTACATCGGTCAGTGTTGGGACGACAAGTTGAACGTTTCGCATTTTGCAGACTGGAGAAAGGGGTAACAACACGTTAGAAGATTGCAAGAATAAAATCGTCGGATAAAAGAGATGCGATCTAAACAATTAGTCGAGCCGATGGTGTCGTGGTCTGACTAGACACCGCGATCAGATCCCTTGCCAATCTTCTTACGATCTAGGGTTCCGCAGTAGCCTTTATTGGTCATTCAGTGGCTCACTTGTGCCGCTCGCCACCTCGCCCCGAACTCGATGGTCTAAGTAGTAGTGCGGCCGGTGCAGTAAGCAACCATTGTCAACCGGTCCCGAACGTCAGTTACCAACAAGAGCTGGTCGAATCAGGTGGTAGAGTTGAAAATATGTCCGTGCTGGCAAGACAGTTGACAATGACACACGACGATGGCCAAACACGTCTGAGAAAATACCATAACGGAACAAGAAGCAAGGTTACAAAAATACACAGGAAGAAATGTAAATATTAATTGTAGAGCTTTGACAGTAGACAGAAAACAGCGTGACTCCAAATGTCTTATAGCTAAACAACTCAGTCTACGTTCAGGGCGATATGCAATGCAATCGGAGGTCACGTTCACATTCTAACCCAGAGAAATTAGCCAACAATTGCCCGCAATATCGAACCACTGCAATATTTCTCTCGTGTCTCAATGGTGGACACCGTGAAAGGAGTTGACGATGAATCCGCAGCAGTCTTAGAAGATGGAGGTGGGTAGATGGTTCTGATCTGAAGTATCGACCAAGAAGGTATTATTTCCGGATGCCAGAAGCGTGTACATCCACCTAATTCTCAGTGTTTCGCAGTAGGAAGGTGAGGCGGTCTCCACGTATGCAACGTTTTGGTTGATCCCCTCCCCTTTTTGGCCCTGGGTACTTACAGTGCCTCTTGTATATTCTTTGTCTCATTTGCCTTGCAGCAGGCCTCCTGACTAACGAGATCTACTTTCTTTCGTATTCACGCTCTTTAATTTTCCGTTTGTTTTTCAAGGCTCGGAATACAAGAACTGAATTTGTCATATTATATTGTAGTAGCCAGAGGTCTCACTGTGTTTCTGTCTAGTCCATTTCGTCTTTTGCACACTCTGCTGGCCCTCACCTCCTTCATATCTGTCTTGGCTTCACGGCATTTGCTTACTTTTGTTCCCCTCCCTCCCGCCAATCTCCAGGTGCCATTTCTGTTTTGTCCCTTGCAGTCCCTTCTCTGAATCACCGAGATGTATATGTATATATATCACAGCCACTTCGACTTGCTCCATCCTTAGAATTTTGTCATCCATCTCTCCTAGTCTACCTTTTCTACCTCCTTCTTGTCATAACAAAAAGTTGCTGTTGTGCTGATAAGAGTACAACAACCTCATTGTTTGGTAATTTGTTTTTCCACCTCACCCGTTTTCAACACCAACCTTCAATATGGTTCGCAATCACGACGGTGAGCAGCACACATTTGCTCGGAAGCTTCCGCAGGAAGGCAAAAACCTCTTTGTGGCTGGCATGGCCGAGTTCGTTGGCACGTTCCTCTTCCTGTTCTTCGCACTCGGAGGCACGACAGCTGTCAACACGGCTGGTCCCCAGGGCACAGTCCTGGCTGCCGATCCATCACAGCTTCTGTACATCTGCATCTGCTTCGGCTTCTCACTCGCCGTCACTGTGTGGATGTTCTACCGCGTGTCTGGTGGCCTCTTCAACCCGGTTGTCACTCTCAGTCTAGTGCTGGTCGGTGCCGTGGGCCCGGTCCGTGGCGTCGTCGTCTTCATTGCCCAGTTGCTTGCTGGCATTTGTGCTGCGGCCGTCCTGTCTGCGCTGCTCCCAGGTCCGTTGATGGCTAGCACCACGCTGCGTGACGATACCAGCATTGCCCGCGGTCTGTTCATCGAGATGTTTGCCACGTCCCTCCTTGTGCTGTCGATTCTTCTCATGGCCGTCGAGAAGCACCGTGCTACCTTTACAGCACCGCTCTGCATTGGCCTCGCCCTGTTCGTGGCCGAGTTGACCAGCATCCCCTACACAGGTGGTAGTGTCAACCCTGCGCGTTCGTTCGGCCCCTGTGTCGCCACGCGCTCGTTCACTCACTACCAATGGATCTACTGGGTCGGCCCCATTCTGGGTAGCCTGCTCGCCACTGTCTTTTACAAGATCATCAAGTTCCTCGAATACGAGACCTGCAACCCAGGCCAGGACGGATGCGGCTTCGACGACCGGCCGTGCGGCATGCAGTACGGCAACGGTGATGGTTCCAACCTGCACCAACACAACGCGCACGGCAGCATGGGCGGCATGGGCGGTGCAATCGCTGGCGACAACACTGGCCTCGCAAGTAACCACCAACACTCGGGCAGCGACATGTCTGCGCAGCGCAACAAGCTCGACGGCAAGCTGAGCGGCGATACCCATTTCGGCCCAGATGGTACCTACCGCAACTCGACTGCCACGGTTCCCAACGCGAACGTCAGGGGCACCAACGCCAACTTTGGCAATGTTGGTGGTGTCGACGCCACTGGCTACCGTAACGCCACCAATCTAGAGGCCGGCGCCGACGCGGCAGTCGATGGTTACAATAACGTCCGCGTGTAGTCCTGGTGAGGTATGCACAAGGATAGTGGCTGGTTAGAAAGCAACTTGTGTTTTTCTTTTAAGATTTTTGTATGCGTTTGTAATGAAGTTGTGAGGGATTACGGGAATTTTTCGAAATTGCAAAGGTGTGGGTTGGATATTGCTCTGTATGGTTGTCGCTGGGAAACACCGGTGTGCTGGGGCAGGATGCCGGAACAAATGCATCATTGAGAATAAAATAAAACAAAACCTTGTCACGTACACGTTGTATGTACTCCGTACCAATGTACCCTTTGTGATTGTCGTCACCACTGCATACGTCCCCTTTATGGTGTTGCTGATCCTGTGTTCTAGATTTCCCTCTGGGTAAAGTACGGGCGATGGATACTGTACTGGTTCGGTTTGGGCTTCTGTATCTGTAAAAGAAGACCAACTTAAGTTGGCCAAAAGTAGGAGGAGAAAGGTGCCCATAGGGCTGGCCTAGTGCACCAAGTGCACGTTAGCGGCATGTTTCCTGTTTTTCCGGCCGCACAGCTGGTGTTGTAGAACAGCCTCAAAAGCGTCCAATTGACAAAATTGGGATAATTGACATTATGCGGGCTTGACCACAAACGCAAACGCCACGCTGCTATGGTCATACTTCCCGGATCGTGAAAACTGAAATTGGGTCAAAAAAGTGACGCAGTTTCTAACTCCGTTGAGCCTACAACGACATTATGTATTCGGGAAAACGAGATCCCTGGAGGTACAAATAAACCGTACAGTACTTCAGTAAATTACTCAGCAATTGCGTCGTTCTGTGCGGAGTAGCGCAAGAAGCCATGCGGGGCATTGCGGCTTTTGGGCATGTTCCGCTTGTTCCGCCCCAGTTGACTAAACCTAGCTAATGATCGCACAGTCGTGCCTTCTACTCTTGGAAGGATACGTGATTGCATAATGTGCTTTGGATGTCTGCATTTCAAAGGATACTGACAAATGAAGAAATAGAGACCACCATAAGGGGAGGGGAACATCGGTAAAAAAAACCTTAGCAGCGTTATATAACAATCAGTTTATGCTCCAGCTCTGCAGCATCTCGATCGACGAGACAGAACCATCCATCAACGTGGCGTCGCGCGAACAAAATTCACGAGTAGCCACAAGAAACGAAAGCACCTGCAAAACATTTTTTTATTTACTCACAATGGCCGACGCATCATCACTCGCAACCAACGGCCCCATCAAACAAGAGCCTACCAACCGCCGCGTGCGCGCCCTTCTCGGTGGTCAGTGGATCTTTGACACGCTGGACGCGGTCTATGTCTGGGAGCATAAGTATTGTAAGTGGATCCTGGGCAAGCACCTAACCACCGGCCGAATACATAAGTCGTACGTCGTATTAACAACACCAAAACAAAAACAGACCCTGTGTACTATGTCCCGGTAGCTGCCGTCCTGGCCGGGCCAGGCAAACTCGACAAGAATGACGGGCCCACTGACAATGGCGTTGTCCTTGCCACATTGCAGAGCAACAGCACGACTGCCACGGTGACCATTTTCGAAGCCGGTCCGCTGGCCGGGCTTGCTAAGGTCGCTAGCGAGACGCTCGAGTGGTATGCAGAAGACGAGAAACTGCTTGGATCACATCCCAAGGACCCCTATACTCGCATCGAGTGCCTCCCCTCGTCACGCCCTGTACGTATTGAACTGGGTGGCACAGTTCTCGCCGAGAGCCACAACAGCATCTTCCTGCACGAGACGAATCTGCGCACGCGCTACTACCTGTCCCCGACGTCAGTCAAGGACTGGAGCGTTCTGAAGCCGAGCGAGACGACGAGTTTCTGTCCGTACAAGGGCCAGGCGCGTTACTACCATGTCGTGCTGCCGGACGGACGCGAGGTGAAGGATGGTGTGTGGTACTACCCGTTCCCGACACTGGAGTCAGCGCTCATTCAGAGCCGGCTGTCGTTTTACAACGAAAAGTTTGACGTCTTTGTGGATGGGGTTAAAGAATAGGCCACATAACATATGAAGTCCTTAACGAGTGTGCTACTTTATGATATTCATAGGCAAATAGCGTCAAGTCGACAAAATGGTATTGTGCTTCTTCTCAATGAACAAAAATGGTATATTCGCATTCACAAGTCTCTCTCCCAGTCGCCTCTCCTCCCTGTGAAACATCCGACAACTGTTTACGTAAGATGTACCATCCCATCGTACTGTTCCTTACTGCGGTGACACCAGTGTCTCACCAGCATGCGGCTCCTTCTTCTCAGTGGGCGTTGCATAGCCTGATGCACCGGCACCGTCGACAGCTTCAGCCTCGATGGCCGTGCGCCGCGTTCTGGGGCCCTTACCCACCAGATCACGGCCAATGGACTTCAATGTGTGCACCAGAGTCTTGCGGCCCTCAAAGACAGGGTAGATGCCGACAGCGCAGAGCGACAGGAATATCCAGATAATACCGATAGTGACCCAGCCGGTAAAGAAGGGCTTGGAAAACACGTAACCCGAGCCATACATGGGCATCGGCCACAGCACCAAGAAGGACACGGCCAAAAAGACCGTGCTTACCTTGCTGATTCTACCAGCACGCGTGAGCTTCTTCTGCTCTTCTTCGAATTCGGGTCCAGAAATAGCAGTGGCAACACGCGGGGCCGGCACGCTGTCTTCCAGATCGGCGTCGACAACTACACCATCGACATCGGCGTCGTCTCCCTGGCGAATGTCCATCATAGACTTCCAGTCATACTTGTCGAGGCCGAAGATGAGCGTGAAGACCGGGATCAGGACGAGGGGCGAGAGCAGGGCCACGACATTGCCAGCCAGCATGGGTTCATTGGAGCCAGTACAGTCGACATCAAGCACACCGCACTGCTTCTTGGCCGTAACGAGCCACGCAACAAGGGCCAGGGCCAAGCCCAGGACCGGCGTGAGGGAAGCAGCCCACTTGTTCTGGCCGGACCAGGTGAGGGTTAGCGTCACGGGAAGAACGGCCGACGAGACGATGACACCCATCATGAGGTACAGGTAGCCCATGCTGATGCCGGCATACCATAGACCGACGGAGAAGCTGGCAATGAACAGGGCGTAGCCAACGACCATGCAGTGGCTCATCCACACGAGGCGACGACCGCTGGCAGCCGGGTTGATGTACGTGCGGTAGATATCGTAGGTAAAGATGGACGAAACAGCGATCAGCTCCGACGATGTGGCAGACGTCACGGCCATGAACACAATCAGCAGCGTCGCGGCTGCACCCCCCTTTCCGAGCAGTGCAACGGCGGCATATGGCAGCACCAGACCGGCCGAGACCTCGGACTCAGCCATGCGGTTGGGGAAAGTCGGAAAAACAGGGTTGGACTCGAGAGCCAGTGCAGCCAGACCTAAGGTTGTGGAGGCCAGGAAGGGAATTGCGAACCAGCTCAGGCCGCCCATGATGTATCCGGGAAGGGCGTGAACGGGTGAGGCGGCAATGGCCTTGTTCCAGTAGCCATTGTCGTTGAAGATGGTGGCAAAGTTGCCGGCAATGTTGATAACAAAAAAGATGGCGCCTTGCTTCGAGCGCATGGTGAGGTAACTGCCGTGCGCGTTGCCGTCAATGGGGTGGTCGTTGGCCGCCTGGACAAGTAGGTCGTACACGGCCGCCGGCGAGCCAAGAAGATCGGAGGACGCATAGGTCGTCAGCGCAAAGATGATGAGAATGATGAGCAAGATAAAGGTGTGGATCCAGTCTGTCAGGATGGTGGCCTTGAGGCCGCCCACGAGCGTGTACGCAACGACACCCAGCGGCAGCAGGTAGATGGCCGCGATTGTGTGCATTCCGGTCAGGGCATTGACAGTGGCTGAACCACCAATGATGAGCATCAGCGACACGAGAATGTTGGTGGCCAGGCCGAAGACGAGGAAGACCATGTGGGCCACGGTGCCGTAGCGCGCCTTGATGATTTCAAGAAAGGTGTGGGCATTGGGAGCACGGCGCTTTAGCTCAATGGCGAGGGTAGCAAATAGCAGCACCTGGACGGTGGCACCAGAGGCATACCAGAAAGGGCCAGAAACACCGTAGCGGTAGCAGACGGCTGTGCTCTGCAAAAGTGTGGCGGCCCAGGTCCACGACGAGACGACAGCAGAGCCGACCAGACCCGACTTGACGGTACGGCCAGCTGTTGTAAACATTTCAGAAGTTTGCTGCTCTGCGTTGTAGCGTTTGAGAATGAATGTAACGAGGATCATGCCTGGACACGGGATCAAAAGTTAGCATGGCAACGCCGCTGAATAGCTGGTCTGTGACAAGACTCACCAAGGGCAAAGGCGAGGCCGAGGCCCAGCACCACGCCATATCCGACGCCCTGGTCAAGGGCCGGAGCAACCATTTTGCAAGTTGTGTGAAGGTCGAGACGGGATGTGACGAGCTGAAATTAAGAGGAAAGTGGTGTGACGAAGAAGAGTTGTCAAAATTTTGAAGCATGCGAATTAAGGGACTGGAGTTGGTACTCGTGTACAGTGTGACTTCTGGAGACGAAGAGGTTCGACGATGAAGAAAGAAAGCATTGGTCACAGACAAGCTGATCATGCCCTCTATATATAACTAGCGAGATAAGTGACATTAAATATTCAAGAAAACATATGAATGGACGGCTTCGGCCATGTGAATAGAACTTTGAACTTGAGCTCCGATAAAGATAACGGTCGAAGTTTTATTCGATAGCACGGTGTCGCCATATTCAGCATCTTGATAACAATGCGATAATTAGAGTAAGTAAGATGGGGCAACAATGAACCACGAAAATAGTAAAGAAAATTAAGAATATGGGACAAAACAAAAAGCCAAGATCCACCCACGGGGGGGGGTAGGACAATCTCTGGCAAATCAGAGCCCGCTAAGTGCGGTGTTAGTGGTCCTACTTTGTACTCGCTGTTAAGACCATCGTAACATGAGGCACAAAAGTGACAACAGGACTAAACGATAGGCCGACTGACAATATGTTCGAACACCAGTCCATGGCCAAAGCTCTTTCGTAACCATATACCTGCCTTCTCGTTCACCGCCGCATGCTAAGATCCAGGGCGCCAAACAACGAAAAGCGGCTTTCAGTTTGGACAGTTTAAACAGCTCCTGGTGGAAAATACAACGACATCCTGGAATACCACGCCCCATTACACGTTGTTCTTGTTCGCAGGATTTTCAGGTCAAGGCTCTGGTTTGTGACCGTTTGTCGTGTAATTCAAAAGCCACGAGAAGCTGTCTAGGTAGCGGGTAATGAGCGGGTCTATGACCGTCGGCAGTGGACTGGATCGTTGTCGCAACGTTTCTGAGCAGATTATCATGGACAAATTCAATGAGGTACGACATGGCCTAACCTCTCTCTCAATCAAACAGCTTTGTCTAGCATCATTTACACAATACTTTGGGCCTGGCCAAGCATCCTCCGATAAGCCCTGGGGAAAGACGAGATACGACAAGACCAGAACAGGGGAAGAGGATACTACACGAGTTACAAATTCAGTTTAAAGGGACCAGTTCTGTGACAGCCAATAGCGTGCAAGTGATAAGGAAAGAATGGTTCGCATAGTGTTTTAGGACATGCTTAGCGCGGCACCGGTACTTGTCCAGAGAGCTTATATGGCGTAGGCGATCCCGGCGTGCATGCTGAGGGCTGTAATTTGGACTGCCGAGGGGACGACCGCCTAAACCAGCCGCCGCATGGACGGTAAGATTTAGACGTTTAGACAGCAATAGTGACAAGTGGGAAGGCGACATAAAGTTGATACTCGGAAAGAGTGAGAGAGAATGGGAGATTGCAGAACGAAAGTGATGCGAAGAGATCAAGCGAGAAAAGGAACGCCGAGTGTGCTAGGGAAACATGCGATCTCGGAAGAGATACGATATCGAAATGTCGCGTGCTTTTCCAAGACTTCGCCGCGGGGGGGGATATTGGTCAGTCATAATTATTGCTCATTTTTGTAATTGCCTATTGTCTCCCCACAAGAAAGCTTATCCCCACGTTAACTTCACTAAACTCCATATTGACGGTTTCTTTTCGAGATTTTCAGCTTCTCCCTCGCCTTCATTCAATCCCGTCGCATCTGGTTTTGTTATTCTCGCTGGGTTCGTCTTTTAGATTCTGATAAAGAATACCTGAAGTTGATTGGTCAACATAAGGGCCTCTAGCTAATCCCTGTTCCGGAGGTGGCCGTTCATCAACGTCGGACGAAAGGGTCTCAAGTGTTCAGCTGGTACTCCGTATTACTTGGTTTATATTTACAGTCTCAGTTTCTGTGTTTCAATGAATTGTCAATAAAAAGCGGAGCGTAGACGTCAAACACTTGACTAGTTTACCCTCGTTCCTTACTGTCAAGATTGTCAACATAGTTACAAGCATTCTTCCGCCTTCAGGTTCCCCTTTCAGGTTCCACCTGTACAGACTCAGAGCTGACGAAGACCGCTGCATTCGCTCGTGAATCATCAATTATGAAATCTATCCAAATATCCTTCCTAGTTCCCCCCACCCCGTTGGTGAGCTATTTTACCTGGGGTCGTGGGGGAAATGCTTTGGCCAATGGCAGAGCCAACAATGCGCCGCAAATCAAGTCTGAATATCAACACAGCGAGGCTCAAACAACAGCTCATTAGATCGCACAGGTGTGGGTTACAAGTCAGGTCCCCTCATACTGGATCCTCGCTTAATTTTGATAAAATGTTGTAGAATAGGGAAATAGCCACGCATAATATGTAAGTACGACGCACATCATGAGCACGTTGCATCTCAAATGTCCAGGCATTACCAAAATGTCAGCTGTCAGCTGTCAGCTGTCAGACATCCCAATCGCGTGCTATTCCGTACAGGAAGTCGAGTTTAGATGCAAATAAATCATACGTTTGGGTATCCTCACGTATCTGTTGGCCGGTTTTGGAGCCACATATATTTTATTTTGTTTCCTACTTTGATTTTCGTCTTATTCTAGCGCTGTACTCCATTTGGAACAAAGAATTATTTTCTTGGCGTCAAGTTATGTACAAGACAAACATAATATCATATAAATATGTACCAAAAAAATACACTACGTTTGAATCACACGTCAACTGACCATTTTCTACTTTCTCCAAATTATGTGATCACTGGCAAGTATTGATATGGTTCAGGTTTAACTCATCTATTGAGACGGAAGAATCCACGTTTTGCAGCGCCATACGAATTACTTAACAGGTACATGGTATGAATACTTATGAATAGAAATGAGAGCAGAGAAAGGTAGTCGGAGGTTACTCCTGGGGTGGCTTATAATTCTTCATCACGTCTGCCATCAGTTGGACTCTGCAAACATCGAGGCACGATTTTGCTGTTTCCGTAAAAGCTGGCTGTTAAGACTCACGTAGAGCTCAGTTTCAAGCAGCAATTAGGCCTCTTTCTTCCTGGTGGCCAAAGTCATTGCTACTGGCCACTCGACTTTAATGGTACCGTTGGTTCCGGAGCAAACGATTGCTTCCAACTCCTTCCACTCCTCCAACGCCCAAGTTTTCTCATCAATTCCCATCTATGAGCTGGCCAAGAAGCCACGCAACCACACGACATCCGCTCGCCGTCCCCATGTTACACCTTGAACATATTCCATTACGTCTGTTGGTGACACACATGTGGCCTCTTCCCATAGGGACGGATCGTTGTCAACAAAGTAGAGTGGCCGTTTCCCGCCTTTGGTCACATTGACGTATGTGCGGCGTACGCCCTCCTCGAAAAGATTTGAGGGGAATGCCACAAAGTCCAGGCCGGTCATGGCCCGTGCAAGACCGCGCATTGCTGCGGGAAACAACTTTCCTTCACTCATGAGTCGCAGTGTTGCGCGGCTGGTGGTTTTGTACCAAAGCTCTTCAGCTCGTGGTCGGCCAGGGAACAGTAGACGGAATCCGTAGGTAACGGCAGCAAATATGCCGCCCGGCTTCAGGGTTTGAGCTACAGCACGCACGGTAGCGGCGCTTTCCATGTAGTGGAAAGCCATGCCGATGGATGTGAAGTCGACGGACGCTGGTGATAGCAACTCGGCTGTCTTCTCAGCAGGACTTTGGTGAAACGTGAATTTCTCGCGTGGTTTAAGACTGGCCTCAGCAGTCCCCAAGTTGGAGGCTCCGGCGTCGGATACAAACACCTTTTTGAAATGCGGACTGATGGCCGTGGCAGCAGTCCCGGGACCTGTACAGGAACATAAGCCATGGACTTGATCCAAGCCCGAAAAGCGGGTGCCTTAACTCACCACATTTTGCGTCGTGTGCAATTTCAAATGCGCCACCATGGTCTCGATGGTAGTCGAACCATTGTTCCCACATAGACTCTGGATAGACTGGACGAAAGCGGTGGTAGGCTTCCCAATCAAGGTTCTTGAATGCAAATGCATATTTGATATCGCGTTTTCCGTCGGCATCGACTTCGGCCTCATGTCGTTCCTTCGGCTGTGCAGGATACACAAAATGCACGTAAAGCAGTATGCGGAAGGCCTCCGCTCTGTAATTTGGAGGCCGCAACGCAGCCTTGGACTTAGCAGATGATATTGCAGTAAACTGAAGGCGTCAAGTAGCACACGTTCTACGGGAGACTCTTATTTGAATGGATCTTGCTTGGTTTCTCGCTGCTAAACGATAGAATAAAATTGACATGAAAGGTCAAAGGCAATATGTCTTCACGCTATGTAATTACAGTGGCTTATCCAAAATGTTCAAATCTCGTGTCAAACCGCTCTTGCAAGTTTGAAAGAAGGTGTTTCAAGAGCCAAGTTCTACACACAAAAGTTCCGTGTTTTTAATTTACACGGTCTCTATGTAGCGTTTCATTTCCCTAGTAAACAATGGTCAGCAACAACGTCAACACGGCCAAACGAGAGACGAAAATTAAGGGCAAACATACCAGTCGGTCACAGCCTCGTCCCACTGGCGTATCTCGTGGTTACGAGTCCCGCCGTAGTGGTCGACAAACTCGTCTCCCAGCACCTCGCGCGCAATGCTCTCCTTATGCATAAAGCGGTCGTTGGCCTCTCGCAGGCTGCGTGCTAAGCGGATACCACCATCGGCCTCACTGCCGACGCCCTCGCCCTTGCCCAGAGGGGGACACGGGATCTTCAGCTTCTTCTCGACGCCGCGCCAGCCCAGCGCCAAAATGGCGGCGAGCACAAAATGCGGATTGGCGTCGGCGCCAGCAACACGCACCTCAAAGCGCGTGGCGCCCGCCTTGGAGCCTGGCGGGCCAATCAGTCGAATCGACGCCTGGCGGTGTTCGTATCCCCAGGAAACGGTAACGGGTGCCCAGAAGTTCTCGACGAGACGCTTGTAACTGTTGATGGTGGGCGCAAGGAGCGGCATGGCGTCCGGCAGCCCCTCGAGAATTCCGGCAAGGAATTGGCGACCCAATTCCGAAAGATTGGCAATATCGGGCCACTCGGCATCGTCATCGGGGGCGTCGCGTGCTAGCAGATTCTTGCCGGTCTTGGAGTCGACTAGCGAGATGTGAATATGGCCACTGTTGCCTGGCAGGCCCTGCTTGGGCTTGGCCATGAAACAGGGGGTAATACCGTAGGGTATGGCGACGGACTTGACCACAAGCTTGAATAAACTAGCGCGGTCGGCCATCTCTTGGATGTCGCCAAACTGGAGCGCCGCTTCATAAACCCCCGGGCCACTCTCGGTGTGCCAGCCCTCGATGTTGCAGGCAAACTTTTCGCACGTCTCAAACACTTCGTAGTAGTAGTCCTTGTTCGCAGCGGGGCGTGTTAGACTGTAACCAAACATGCCTTCGGTCAGCGGTGGTAGGGTATGTGGCGGGTTGTTGGCCAGGTAGGCGGCGGTCGAGGGTTGGCGGGCAATTGCATTGTTGGGCGCCGGGTTTCCATCTGTCGGCGTCAAGAAGTGAAAGAATTCGTACTCGGCTGTCGAGAAAACTTGTCAGCCGTCGACCTCGGTATAAATCAGACACGACGTGGTACTTACCGCCGGCCATGGCCCCGTAGCCTTGGCTGCTGATCTTGTCGACTTGAGTCTGAAGCAGGCCGCGCGGACACGCACATATGGGCTCCTTGCTGTCCGGGTCGAAGAAGCGCAAAAGGACGAACGGCACATTGTCCTCCCACGGTATCCGCCGAAACGTATTGAGATCGGGGACGGCCAGCAGGTCGCGATAGCCGTTTTCTTTGTTGCTGACTTTGAGCTCCTGGAAATATGTCTGATCGTGCATGTCCCAACCGAAGATAACAGAGCAGAAGCCAAAGCCGCTTGTTGCAATCGACAGAAACTTAGCCTTGGACACAATCTTGCCGCGTAGAATGCCGTCCACATCCACGCCAGCGACCTTGACTTTGGTGTCGTGCTCGAGAATGGCCGGCAGCCGCTCAGCCGTGACGTGTTCCGTAGCCATGGTGACGTGGCCCGGCAGAGTGACGACGGGCGAAGTGCTGTTGAGAGAAAGAAAAGAACATGTACAAAATCACAAAAGCCGAAACTCAAAAGCCAAAACTGCGGGGGGGGGGGGAGATAGCAAAAGAGTGTAGACGACACGAGTGTTGGAAGCTTGGCAGTCTGTGAAGCTGACGATAAGATCGGTGAAAGGACAAGTGCGGGGCCAATCGTCAAGCTCCCTTGACAGCGCAAAATGATCATCTTCCTCCGCCCTGTACTTTAGTGACGCCGATACAGGGTCTGGGGGGGTTCTGTAACGTTTCCTGGTATCTTACTGGCGCCCTTAGCCTCACCGTTTCGCTGGCAAACAAAAGTGGTGAGCACGTAAAACGTACTTTGCGTGTCTGCACCTCGTAATGGGTAAGCTCCGACAAAAGGACGCCTTCAATTTGGGATCCATGCCAATAGGCCCTTCAGTTGTCTGTCGTGTTAATGCTTTGAGGCTTTCCCGTAGCAGAAGGTGCCAGCCTCCTGAATTGGTGAAACGACAAAACCGGGCGCATGTCGTGTGCTGTAGTGCTGATAGAGGCACGTGTATATTTTCCTCTCGGACAAATGCACAGCGGGCGGCCACTGAAATCCGGGCAGGTTTGGACTAGACGCAACTAGCCTGACTGGTCGTATTACCAGCGACCAAAATACGGGGAACAGCCAATGATTGCAAGCTCCAAAACTGCTGCAACAAAAAGCGAGCCACCGAGCCACTTAGGAGCACCCCTGTTCCTCCCATCTTGGGTCGTGCCTGCCGCGGGATCTAATTACTGTGTCTGTCTGCCGTTGTCGGCGGCCATTTGTCCGTGACGCATCCCAATGCGGAAGGGGCAAGCGGCGCAAACCACTGGGCATCCCAACGTCACCGTGCAAGAAGCCCATCAGACCTTATCTATGAACCTATCGAGGAAGTAATTGGAAACCGCCGTTGGAAAGGCGCATTCTGCCTCTCGTGCCATATTCTTCCCCTTGGCCTGTTTCAGTTTTGTGATTTTAGTTGTGAGTTTTATTTCATTGTCCCTTCTTTTCAAATTCATCTTTTCTTTAACAAGATAACCCCAGTGCGCCTTCTTCTTTCGCTCCGCCGTCGCCGTTTCGCACTCGACCCCACCCACCGCCTGTCCTTCTTGGGAACCTATTTATCGTGATTAGTCTCCTGACTCGACACCCTCTCCACACCATCCGAAATTCTTGACATTCACATCCTCCACAAAACGCACTCTCTATAACGACACGGTCCTCAAAAGCACCAAGAAAGACATCTACAGGCAGTTCAACCTCCCCTAGTCACTATATAATGTCGTCGGCCGGCCGCCTCGCGGGCAAGAATGCCATTGTCACCGGTGCTGCTGGGTACGTTGGCACTGTATCTCCTGGCGTGCACCGCATTTTCCGGCAATTTCCGTCTGGCTGTCTACTGACTCCCACTTTGTTCACTTTGTCTGCAGTGGCATCGGCTTAGAAACAACAATCTTGTTCGTCAAGGAGGGCGCCAATGTCCTCATGTCGGACATCTCGGCCCCGGCACTCGAAAAGGCGCTCGCCAAGGTCAAGCAGCTGCTGCCCGATAGCACGGCCCGTGTCGAAACTGTGGTCTGCGACGTCTCCAAGGAAACCCAGGTGAAGGCCATGGTCGAGAGCCTCGACGCTTGGGGCGGCCTCGATGTGATCTTCAACAACGCGGGCATCATGCACGCGCAGGACGACGACGCCGTGGAGACCCCCGAGGAGATCTGGGACCTGACGCACAATATCAACGTCAAGGGCGTGTGGTTCGGCAGCAAGCACGCAGTGCTGTCGTTGCGGCGCCACAAAAAGACCAAGGGCTCCATCATCAACACGGCGTCGGTGGTCGCACTCGTCGGCTCGGCCACCCCGCAGCTAGCCTACACGGCATCCAAGGGCGCGGTGCTGGCTATGACACGCGAGCTGGCGATTGTGCACGCGCGTGAGGGCTTCCGGTTCAACTCACTGTGCCCAGCGCCTCTCAACACCCCTCTGTTGCAGGATTGGCTGGGCGACGACAAGCCGAAGCGGGCGCGGCGCGAGATCCATTTCCCCACGGGTCGGTTTGGCGAGGCCATTGAGCAGGCGCAGGCCGTTCTGTTCCTGGCGTCGGACGAGTCCAGCTTTGTCAACGGGCACGACATGGTGGTAGACGGTGGTATGACCAAGGCGTACGTGACGCCCGAGGGCCCAGCAGCCGGTGCGCCGGTCAACAACGCCCTGCGTGACTCTCTGTGAGGCCTAGGCCGCTGCCCCCGATTTTTATGAATAGTAATACGACTGCAGATTGCGCAAATCTAATATTTTAAATCGCACAAAGACGAACAGACGAACCGATGCGGTTGTCCTGCAGTACATGTACCCTCAGTGTTCGGTTCCTAGCGTATGATTTCACCGTCACGTGTTAATTAGCCGCGCCTACTAATGTGGTGGGGGGAGGGGAAAACAGTTGAGGGGCGAGTTGGCTTGTGACATTGGCCAATGAAAGTTAACAACCCTGCCCAGGCGACTGTCAAATAACCGCAAAGGGAGCCGTGGCGGCCAACCAAGGCTGCTGAACCGTGCCCGCTAAGGCGGCTTTCCTCGGTTCATTCTGGGTTTGAGGAAAAGCAGTGCTCGGCTTGGATAAGAGGAACCGAGAAGCGCAAGCACACCGGGGATCAGAACATGACGAAGGAGGGATGGTGCCGCAAACTGGTCCCTGATTCGGAAAGACGACGTATTTTTTTTCTCTCCTCGTGTCCTGGTGTCTTACTTTCTCTTCCTCTCATTTTTCTTCGTTATTTTATCCTCGCCTGTCTTTGTTCCTTTTCCAAGCAACAGAATAGAACTCCTGCTCCCCACCCACATCACTTCACGATGAGTGCCCGGACTACCACGAGAGCCTT